GCCCTTGGTGCCACTTGCCTTTAAATATCTCTCCGGCGTTTTCGCTGGTCTGCCCTCGAAATAGTCGGAATGGACATACTTTTCCAGATCACTAACTATGTCTTTGTCCAATACAAACTCCTCTCTAGGTTTCTCTAGCGATTCCAACTGCGCAGCTACCTCAAGGCTGGGTTTGCCCTTGATATCTTCCAGATTTGCGTTCACAGACTGTGTGAACGCAGTCCAGTCCCGGTCTGGCTGCTGACTGCTCCTTGAACTTTCCACATCTTCTATATCAATGCTCACATCGCTGGAATCATCGCTGGCGTTCCTAATGTTAACCTGTAAGAACGGTTACTAGAAAATGCATTCTCTGAGTTTTAACGTAAAAACTTCTTACAATTTCTTCGCCCTCGTAACTCGGCACGGATCGGCCCTGCCCAGTGACAATTTCTCTGGACAGCATCACTTTTGCTGCTTGACTGATCTCAGTTTTCCCTTTATTCTTCAGTTTTACACGTTTTCGCCTTCGCATTCGCGGTGGGCGACTGCTTTTGGGGAATATCTGGGAGTTAATTAGCGTACTAGTAGAGGGTTGCGCTGCTAATACGGTGGATTTCCCGGTGAGATCATGTGTTGCTGAGCTAGAACTACTGGAACTTTCTCGCCGAGAAGCTTTGGGTTTCTGCAAGGCAACTGTTGGCGCGCCAGCGTTAATGACCGCAATTACCTCCTCAATACTGGCAGGAATCTTTAACACAAAAATGACTTATAATAGACTTTTGTGCTATCGGATGTCGTTCGCTTACCTGGTCGCTGTTTAAAATATCAAAATTGAGGCTTTCAAGTACCGACAGCTCGGAATGAGAGTGCCCAGCCGCATGAAAAGGAGTCGCACTGCACGAATAGAAGTTTTTGAAATAATATCTGACCTCTGCCGCAGTCCTGGACCCGATTACTTGCGCCAACCTCACGCAACTCCTTCCGAATATCTCCATGCCTTTCTGCAGCAGGGTTTTCTCCTTATCAGTCCACCCGCTCTCGTCAGTGATGCAATTCTCGGTTGAAATGTACACCTGAGACATGTCTTCTGAGTCGGAGACTTCAGGAGTTGGGGCTCCTGGTGTCTCTTTGTACCAGTTGTCTGGATTGGCGCTGGGCTGGTCCAGCAACCACTGTGGGTGCACGGTATAGTCGCATTTCAACAAATCGGAATTTTGGGACATCAGCCCTGATTTGTCGAGCCTAACATGGATAAATTACACTTTCGCCCGACCGCATTTTGCGAACACTTACAGGTCGGAGTTCATATCAAATGGCAAGTTGAAGTCGTCGCCTAGAATGTCTATTTCATCTTCATCTGCCATGCTGAGAGTGGTATTTGAAGCGTGCTAACTTCTGATGCAATTTATGGACGCTTCTGCTCCTGGTGAACTGGACTAGGAGGACTGCATATACTACAGAACTTGAAAAAATGAGATAAAAAGACACAGTGGTCATGTGGAGGCAAAGTACCAGACTTTATGGAGTGTTGCTGCTGTTAGAAGAAGTAAACCCAATAGCAAACCTCAAGGCTACAAGACTTTACTATGTAGGACTGCAAAAAACAGGTATAGCACGGTTGAAAGCAGAGACACGCACAAAAGGCCCCACTTACCATTTGTTCAATTAAGTCAGAGGTTAGTGTTAAACTCGCCAGCTCTCTTCTGTTCTATGCAGCTCTGCTACGTCCTTCCGGTGCAACTTGAAAAACAGGTTTTTTAGCGCTCTTATTTGAATGAAACTCTGTTTGTCTGGGTATTTCCTGCAGCGTAATACTAACTAAAGCAGTGATGAGTTGCGAATATAGGGAGGATTTTCGTTACTGAACAATGCAGCAGGAAATAATAATAAATAGAATTACATTTCCATAGATATAAACCAATGCCAGTGATAATTGAGTAGTACAGTTTTCTAGACCGAACGTGCGCAACTGCCACCGAGGCGCTGATCTGCACCTGCGGCCGCCATTCTGTAAATGTGTAGTTTTGATTGATCAACACTTTGAGCACGTGGAAACTATTGCTGCCTGTACTCGTTTTTGTGCCGAAATAAGACATAACTGAGTGAGTTTTGAGTGAGAATACGATCGGAAGACATTTTCGATCGAACGGGCGCAGTTAGCCGCAAACAACACACCGTAAGTGCTTCTAAATTATTGTTTTCACTTTGACTAGAATCACAATCTGGAAGTGTGGCCGGCATCTTACCTGGGGATGGTGACACTCTAAGCATAGGAATAGAATGCCAACTCACACTTTGTCTGGCCGATTCTAATTTATTTATTGTTTCATTTGGCTCTACTTCAACCCCATTAGCTATATTGGCCCATTTTACGGATGATTCCTTAAATTGGAAAATGTCTCATTTGTCAGTCAATTTCGCTTGGGTTTTATGGGCATTTTTCCCATGTGCAGCTATGCACTTTTGGTAGGCCTATTAGGATTCCAGCTTGTGATTATTGAACACCCAATCATCAACTAATCACTTATTATGTGCCTTGCCTGTCTAGCATATGGACGTTCTAACTAGCTCGATTTCGCCCATAAACGTATACCTGCATTTGAGCAAAACGGCCCCTTTTTCTCATTCTTCAGATATAGGGGAGATAACCCCTGGCTGATGGAATGCTCAAGTTTATATTTATTAGTTAATCTTAAATATTGGAAGCCCTTCCTTATGGACTTGCTACGTTTAAGCTATAACTAGCTTGTTAGCTAAATTTGCTCCAACTTGCATAAAGTAGGCCTGCAAGTAAAACGCGGCTCTGACAAGGGCGGATCCAGGGGGGGGGCTCATTCAATTCTCTATCCAACGATGCCAAAACGAATTCTGTGGCACGAATGGTTCTTGAGAAACTTCGAAAAAAGCAGCGTCATGTTCGTGGATTTTGCAACTCAAAAAAAAACCACGCAAATCGAAAACTTTTTTTTTTGCTTATATACAAAGTGGACAATTTTTTTTAAATAAAGTATAAGAGGATGCCGGAAACAGTCAACTCTTCCTTGATTTAATCTGTGTCCATATTTCTGCAATTCGATCAAAAAGTATACCTGAATGTGAAAGTTATCTATCATGGACATTAGCAGATACAACGTAGGTGTGTATGGAGAGCAAGAGAGCAATGACTTAATATTGTACATGTAGACTAAAAAATGAAAACCTGTTGCGATGTAGTAATTTCATTAAAACTAACCAGTGATGGCTTTGAATTATTTCAAACCTTGGCCCTGCTCGCTCCAACATATGTATTTAAATAACTCCTATGTACGTTGCGGTGTCTAGTTGAATTTTCATTATTTCATTCTATCATCTGCAATGGATAAACAGCATTTCTCCAATTGCCAAACAGATTAATCGTTATTTTGAGGCGGTGTTGTTGACCCACGGTTTGTGCTGTAATCAACTGAGCTCAATCACGTGAAAACCAAAGAAAACTGAAAGACAACAAAGAAATTAATGATTTGTTTATTTGGATGTTGACTAACTGTTTCATTAGAGCCGGCCGAGCATTACGCGAATGCAAAAAAACGGAAAAAGTCGCCACAAAAATCCGAAACGCTCGTTGTTGTGTAGGGATAGGCGTTTATTTTTAACGACTTTAGTTTTAAAAATATATGAGGAAATTGGGATTTGTTGTGACGGGAAAAGGCTTCAAGGGAGCGTGGATTCCGCGAAATATTAGTTTAAGTGCCAGTGTGGTGAGCGGATCTCTGAAGCTCTATGTGAGTTTGAGTGCTAGTTGCTTATCGATTGAATTGAGACACTTTTGCTTACATCATTCCTCAGTTCTTCTCTTATCGGTTGGCAACAACCAACAAGATTTGATGAGCTCCAAATATACCGGAAAATCGACGACCGGTTTGGACTGAACGCCCATTAGTTCACGAACCCCAGCTTGATTTTT